CATAGAGGTGAAGATCATGGTCCACCTAGTGGCAGAGTCTGGATGGTACCTTTAACCTTCTGACAGTTCTTCCAGTCTCAAGTAGGTATCCATTATTTTCAGTATATGAGTCAAGAGACGTAGTGTATCCTTGCAGATGTTTTTGAAAAATCTTATGAACTTCAGGCCGGCCCGTGGCTCACTCGGGAGAGTGCGGTGCTGATAACACCAAGGCCCCGGGTTCGGATCCCATATGGGGGTGGCCGGTTCGCTCACTGGCTGAGCGTGGTGCTGACAACACCAAGTCAAGGGTTAAGATCCCCTTACCGGTCATCTTTTTTAAAAAAAAAAAAAAAAAAAAAATAGTCATTTTGCAGAAATGTGTCAAGTATTATTTAATGGCTGCTGCCTTTTCTTGCTTCTGATTTTGGTAATCTTGACTATCAGCATTGAAAATTTTCAGAAATTTGTAGCACGGTAAATGAGGGAAATCAATTCTTTGGAGAGAACATCTTTATAGAACATAAAACCAGCCTCAGTTAGTTTGAGTGTTTCTTTTTCTTAGAGAGTTTAAGGTTAACTTAAAACAGTATAGTTCTGCTGGTATCCTCTACCAGGATTGAGAGTGCTTTTAAAGTTGAATGGATTTTAGAGCTCATCCAAAACAACCTCCTCCTCTTGTAGCTGAAGAAACTGGGTGGGGCCCATAGAGGTGAAGATCATGGTCCACCTAGTGGCAGAGTCTGGATGGTACCTTTAACCTTCTGACAGTTCTTCCAGTCTCAAGTAGGTATCCATTATTTTCAGTATATGAGTCAAGAGACGTAGTGTATCCTTGCAGATGTTTTTGAAAAATCTTATGAACTTCAGGCCGGCCCGTGGCTCACTCGGGAGAGTGCGGTGCTGATAACACCAAGGCCCCGGGTTCGGATCCCATATAGGGATGGCCGGTTTGCTCACTGGCTGAGCGTGGTGCTGACAACACCAAGCCAAGGGTTGAGATCCCCTTACCAGTCATCTTTTAAAAAAAAAAAAAATCTTATGAACTTCAAAAATTAAAATTGATGGCCGGCCCGGTGGCGCACTGCTACAGTGCGCCGCTTGGGAGTGCGGCAGCGCTCCTGCCGAGGGTTTGGATCCCACATACAGACCGGTTCCCGCTCACTGGCTGAGCGAGGTGTGGGCGCAACACCAAGGGTTGCGATCCCGTTGCCGGTCCTGGTCCGGTACGGGCGCGACACTGAGGGTTGCGATCCGTTGCCGGACAGGAAAAAAGACAAAAAGGAAAAAAAAAAAATTAAAATTGATGGGCCAGCCTGTAGCTCACTTGGGAGAGTGCAGTGCTGATAACACCAAGGCCACGGGTTTGGATCCCTATATAGGGATGGCCGGTTCACTCACTTGGGAGAGCGTGGTGCTGACACCACTAAGTCAAGGGTTAAAATCCTCTTACCAGTCATCTTTTAAAAAAAAAAAATTAAAATTGAGCAAATAATTTTAGATTTGGTCTTCTCAAATGTAATAATCACTCCATTTGCTTCGGGGGTGCCCCAGTTTATTTAATAACAGATCTGTTTTCCAGAGACAATTCTGAAATTTTATTAAGGATGGTAAACTTAGATCTTAAGCCACTTCAACAAAAGTGTATATCCCCAGGGGTCAGCCCGTGGCTCACTCGGGAGAGTGCGGTGCTGATAACACCAAGGCCACGGGTTCGAGTCCCATATGGGGATGGCCGGTTTGCTCACTGGGTGAGCGTGGTGCTGACAACACCAAGTCAGGGGTTAAGATCCCCTTACCGGTCATCTTTTAAAAAAAAAAAACGGTGTATATCCCCAGGAAGTTTATGTGTTGATCTATAGTAAACAGTTCCAACTACTATAATAGACAGGCTCGAGAGTGAGATTTATGTCAAAACCTAGGTGGTAGTCCATGAACTTAAGCTGTGTCACTCATTGAGGGTTGGATATTACATTTATGGTTTATAGACAGGTTGAGGGAAAATATTTATTATGTTTCCATTTCACTCATTGAAATAAATTCTGGAAAATGCGTGTAACTAAAATTTTGCTTTAGATGCCCTAGGATATCTCAAACCAACTTTGCAAATAATACGTTGGTAAAATAAGACACCTTAGACTGCTACACTCTATTTTTGTGTTTTTGAGACCTCTAAGGAATCTTAGGGATCAGAGGAAAGGAATCTGGGGAAATGGATCTTGATGTGCATTTGGAGCTGAGTTAATTTCCATTTTACAGTTTTTTTTTTTTTTTTTTTTTGTCTTTTTCCGTGTCCGGCACCCGATCGCAACCCTCAGTGTTGCCCCCGTACCGGTCCGGGACCGGCAACGGGATCGCACCCCTCGGCGCTGCTCCTGCGCCTCGCCCAGCCAGTGAGCGGGAACCGGTCTGAATGCGGGATCCGAACCCTCGGCGGGAGCGCCGCCCCACTTCCCAAGCAGCACACTAACGCAGTGCGCCACCGGGCCGGCCCCCATTTTACAGTTTTTTTTTTTTTTTGTCTTTTTCCGTGTCCGGCACCCGATCGCAACCCTCAGTGTTGCCCCCGTACCGGTCCGGGACCGGCAACGGGATCGCACCCCTCGGCGCTGCTCCTGCGCCTCGCCCAGCCAGTGAGCGGGAACCGGTCTGAATGCGGGATCCGAACCCTCGGCGGGAGCGCCGCCCCACTTCCCAAGCAGCACACTAACGCAGTGCGCCACCGGGCCGGCCCCCATTTTACAGTTTTTTTTTTTTTTTGTCTTTTTCCGTGTCCGGCACCCGATCGCAACCCTCAGTGTTGCCCCCGTACCGGTCCGGGACCGGCAACGGGATCGCACCCCTCGGCGCTGCTCCTGCGCCTCGCCCAGCCAGTGAGCGGGAACCGGTCTGAATGTGGGATCCGAACCCTCGGCGGGAGCGCCGCCGCACTTCCCAAGCGGCACACTAACGCAGTGCGCCACCGGGCCGGCCCCCATTTTACAGTTTTCATTCAATTGTTTATTAACCATCTTCTATGTATAAGCCTGAGCCCTGGGGAAACACAGATAACAAGAGCTGGGTCCCTGACTGCCAGGGGGCAGTCTGTTGGGGAAGACAAATAATAAACATCATTACAGCATTAGGAAAATAATGGAATGAAAGAATTGCTCTCCTGTGCCATTGATCTGTGTTGTGTTAATGCTTTTGTTAAATATACTGTTAGCCTCTAAAACAGCTACTTACTTAAAAAGAAGAGTGAAGCACCAGCATATACCATACATATTCAGTTATTTCAGGCTTGCTACGGGACTTTCATTGCAACTGGCCCAGATGCTAAGATATTTCTATGGGATTTTGGTGCTACTCTTTTTACCTTAAGTAGTCACTTGTCTTCTTTATACCTCAATATTCTCACTTTTAATAAAAATCATTTTTGTCTTTCTCTTTTAGGCCTTATTTTGAAGATAAATCAGGATAAGTTAACTTTTAATACTATAGTTTCTAACTTTGAAGGCTCACATTTATTTATTTGTGTGTGTTTTGGTGGCTGGCCAGTACAGGGATCGAATCTTGGACCTTGGTGTTATCAGTACCATGTTCTAAACAACTGAGTAACTGGCCAGCCTCTTGAAGCCTCACATTTAGACCTTTTTGTTTTTTACTTCTCTATCTTGTGTTTAAAAAAATATATTTCGTTTCTGCCTGAATGTTTTTATTAATTTTTTTGGTGGCTTGCCTGTTTGGGGATCGTTGATATTATAACACCATGCTCTAAACAATTGAGTAACCAGCCAGCTCTCCACTTTTAGAATTATTAGGGTCAGTTTTTAAATGTGAAACATATTCTAGGATATATTAAAGAGTTATCATTTATTTGCTATAGTGAGTTAATTAAATTGTGATTTCCCCTAGACCCTGAAATAATCTACATTGACAAAATAGGTTTTTGTGAAAAGGCTGGAGTTATGTATGGATTGTACAGCACCTTTTCTGGGGTAGGACAGACATAGGGAGAGGTCTTAGAGTTGGGAGACGTCATTGAGACCATTGCTCAGAAGTAGAGAAGGGCTCAGCGTAGAGAAGGATAAGAGCCACTAGGTTAAGTTTACTATTAACAATAGTTAAATATGTCTTTAGCCTTATATTTACTGAGTAGGAATATGTACTGGTAGAAATCCATGAGTTTGCAGTCATCTTTGTATGTAGCAAAGATGTTTATATTTAGTAATTTGTCTTAGAAGCTGATTTTAAAATATTGGATGGGAAAATAGAAATAGAGCCTACATGGCCAGACATGAACATAAGAATTATTTCAATAGTTTTTATAAAGAGTGATGCTAAAATTTTTTTTTAATGGATATTAAAATTGTTTTTTTTAAAAAAGCCGAATGAAATTGGCAATGATATTAGAATAAATTCGTATTTATATAGGTCATAGCATCTTTTTTCTGGAGTCACCTTCTCAGGAGGTTCATGACATTGATCATTTATTCGCAGATACCACGAAAATGGATCTTACTAAGTAAATCAAGGTAATCTTGTCATTTATTTATTTATTTGCCTGCTGGCACATTTATTAGCATTAAACACAAGACCCTTCCCTTCCCGGAAACCAAGAAGCCACGCTTACAAAGTTCCAGGCCTCTGAAGCAGGGTCCCTCTGCCCCATTTCTGCAGCAAATTCCGGCCTTGGCGGTAGGCTGAGCTGTCCCCAGGACTGCAAGCTGCTGAATTTTCTGGTTCATCATTTTCATGACAGCCTGTTTCATGGCATGCTTCTGCAGAGCTGGCTGGATTTTCTCCATCTGCTTGGTGAGGAAGTCTATCTTCCTCTTGAAGTCGTCTTTGGCATCTTCAGCTGTCTGCTCTACATAGTAGCCAGTTTCCATGTTGATGAGCATATATTCCACATTATGTAGCTTCCTAGGGACATATATAGAACTCGTCAATGGGACGAGTAATTCTTTCCCCTCGTTGCTGTTGTTTAGCATGTTCAGACAATCCTTGGCTTCCACATACTTGGTCAATACCACTTTGAGCTGGGCAGTGGATGTAGATAAGAACTCCATGTCCTGGTCTAGCTGGTTTTTGAGCATTTCTAGCTGCAGCAGATTCAGTTTGGTGATGTTAACTGACTGCACCTTGTGGGGAAGGAGGATTAAGGAAGAGAGATTTTGTTAATTTTTTCATTGAAGATTTTAAATAATACTGTCTAAATCATACATTCACATATTGTTGTGTAAATGACATGTCTGTCCAATTGTATTGTCAGGTTATTGAGACCTGGGCTTGGTTTATTTCCTGTATTGCTAAGAGAGCCTAGTACAGTTATTGAAAATATAAAGTGATTATATTAAAAGAGAGAATAGAGATATTCTCAGAAAAGTATTCAACAGTAGACCTCTTTCCATATTCCTTCTTCTTGAGCAGTTTCTTTTCTCTTAAGTACCATATCATTAAAAAGCTGGAAGTAATAAGAGAAAATTGCATTGAACAGTCTGTGGCTTATAATCGATTCTGATACCAACTGTAACTATGGAAAATTTTTAAAAATTGACATGAACATTATTGGTGGAAGAAGTCCATGGAGGAAAGATTGGGAATTCCACACAGTTAATATGCTTAGTATATTTGACTACAAACATGGAGTCCCCAATCCCTTGAAACTAGGATTTCCATACTCCTGATCTTGTGTCATACCACCTGATAGAGCTGTGTAATTGCCTCTTGGTTTCTGTGTAAGTTGCCTTTGGTCTTGGATAACAGTCTTTGTCAGATGTAAAGTGTTACTGTTCAGTTTCCTTAAATTCTAGGAAACATGTCTTCACAGCTTCTGCTATGCTACAGCTAAGGACAACTGAATTCAGATATGGAACAGTCACCATAGAAATGCAGGAAAGAAGCGTTCTGGCCTTTAATAATGCTTATGTCTCTTCCTTTCGTTGCAGAACAAAGAGTAGAAGATGTCCGACTTATCCGAGAGCAGCATCCTACCAAAATCCCGGTAAGTAGTCTCAGGCATCTGTTTCAGCCGTTCATGTAAGCAGAAGAGAGCACTGCTTAAATACAACTTCATTGTGGTGCTGCTTAACTACACCCACTTGACCGGGATTTCTATAGGAATCATTCGAACCTTATATGTCAGTTTCATAACCTAGAATTGAAATATGTTAGTCGACAGTTTTCTTTTTTTTTTTTTTATTTAAAAGATGACCAGTAAGGGGATCTCAGCCCTTGGCTTGGTGTTGTCAACACCACGCTCAGCTAGTGAGCAAACCAGCCATCCCTATATGGGATCCGAACCCGTGGCCTTGGTGTTATCAACACCGCACTCTACCGAGTGAGCCACGGGCCGGCCCCCCTAGTCGACAGTTTTCTAATCACATTCTTTTTCTTCCTAAGTCCAAGTATGCTGCCTTAATGTTATACACTTCACAAGTCAAATGTAATTGTTTTGGGGAAAAGGGACAGGGGGCTAGAACTGTTTGTATTTTATTATGGAAAGTATTTGCTGTCTTTTAAAGGAAGCAAATGGACCGCTGTTGTGGGAAAGTCAATGGCTCTCGGGATTTAAACATAACTGCACACTCGAGGCTGCCTGACTTTCGATGCCCCAGAGAAGTTTCTTCTTATATTTGGTTTCTTTGCAGGAGATGGAGAAGAGACACTGCTCTCCTTTGTCACGTGTAGAGGCCTCAGATACTTGCTGCTGTGCCCAATCATAAGCATCTTGAGCTGTGAATCCTTGAATGGTGGACCATAAATAGGCTTTCAGAGTCACTAGGGCTAGAGAGAAATGGTCAAAAACCATTTGGTTTCAGACAGGCTAAGTTCAAGACTTAGGTTCAAGGTTACTATGTGATCTTGGGCTAGTTACTAAAACTCTGAGAGGAGTTCCAGCATCCTCATCTGGGGATGAAAATGGGAAGAAAATCTCACCCCATGTAGTTGTTGTAAAGATTTGTTTGCATAATTCTGGGCAAATGATAGTCATCTAATGTTGGCTGGTATTACCCTCTTCTGATTCTATAGATTGCTTAGAAATAAACTCCACTACTAAGTTCAATAGAAGCTTTCTTATTTGGCTTTCTGACTGGTCACTTCATACCAAATTGAGAGGGGAAAGATGAAAGATCTGTGGAATTGGGGCTGGAGATGCCATGTTGGCTGGTATTGGGGTTTTTAAGGTACACAGAAAGGAGAAAGAGATGGGTTTGCTCAGTATTTTCACAACTGTATGATTCTACAATAAAAGATGTTGTTCTCTGTTTTCTCTGGGCTGGTTGGAAATTTCAGTTTGTTCTCATGCTTGGGGATAATGTATGGCGAAGGGGGTGAGCTTCCTGGGGAGGACCCTCTTAGACTAAATAGAATTTCCTTCATTTTAAGTTTTCCTTCACTTTTGAGTACCTGCTGTATCAACTTGCTAGTACATGCTAGCAGTTGGAAGCCCAGCAGCCAGCCAGGTTTTGTTCCACAGTCTCCTTTTGAAATGTGAATCTCTGTGTCCATTAACAGCCATCTTTGCTGCTAGTAGTTTCAGGTTCTTTGCAGAAATTCACTTACTTGTACTTCCACATACCCATGACACCTGAACAGGATTGAGAGCCAGACCCTGACAGGTGCTTACTTGTTGAAAAAGAGATGGCCAGAGAAGCCACAGGCAGCTCACTGACATCCCTTCTACCCATCCCCTGCCTGGATTCCCTAGGGCTGGCTTTTCTCTCTGCGCTCCTACCTTCTAAGTGAAACATTCCACAAGGCACTTTTCAGAACTAGCCAAATGTTTTATTCTACGACTTACATATCTTCTGTACCAAATTAGAAGAGTAAAGGAAAAATGGAAAATAAGAACTAAAAAGTAAACCAGTCACTTATAGATGATTGTTTTCATGGAGATTAACTAAACAAATAGGGAGTTAGGACTTGATAGAACAACTCCCACCAAAACACACTCATGGCAAACCAGAGCAGAAAGGTGCCCCTAATCATTCAGCATTTTCCAGACTGTTGTGTGTTCTTTTAATAGAAGGCTCCTAAGGTCTTGAACTTTTCTTCTCGTTCTCTGACCTCTTCTGAGTCCTCTGGGGCCAAGGATCCAAGATTTTTATACTGCCTCTGTTTTCTTTTTTTTTTTTTTTTTTTTTTCCTATTTTTGAGACCGGCCGCACCACACTCAGCCAGTGAACGCTGTTAGCGCACCAGTCATCCCTATATAGGATCCGAACCCCCGGCGGGAGTGCTGCTGTGCTCCCAGCGCCGCACTCTCCCGAGTGCACCACGGGCTCGGCCCTACTGCCTCTGTTTTCTGCTACCACTTAAACTCAGGCAAGTGGAGGCAACATGCTGATACTTCCTTGTGGATATCACATTTTTGAACATGTCTTACCAAGGAGGGTGATGACAGCTTGACCTTCCCTTTCACAGAAACTTATGTAGGTCCCACACAATGGAACCATGTACAGATAAGCATTGTTACCTCCTAAAGAAACATATAAAGCTTTTTCATTCCCATCTCTCAGTTTCTCATTGTTGTGACAGGGTAGATTACTGGATATGGAGAAGGACGTCTGCAGCGCTCAGTAAATACAGACAATAATAAGACGCAAAAGCCCGTCTGTGCTCAGGTTTTATAGCATCTTAGAACTAAAAAAAAATTAAACAAAAACACTTTTTTCTTCCATATAAAGGAATTATAGTGAGTAACTAATGGATCTATTTCAGCATGTTTTATCAAAATGAAAGGACCATCAAGTCTTTCTGCTCCAGCTTTCTCCAGAACCAGCTAATCATGGTTTCTACTTGCCTTGTCAAATATTTACTTGATTTTTTTCATATCAAGTGGAGAAAACAGTCTCTAATATGGGTAAACATTGAGCATATTACCATAATTAAGAACTGACTTACACTTTTATTAAAAGACATGCATTTACTTTCATCAGGACTTCTGCCATCTCTCAGGAAATGATGGTATTGGAATTGATATAAATTGTTTCAGATATTCTGAACTTCAAGTTGGTACCCAGCCTCTCTGTGCCTTTTTCTGACTAGGTAGAATATTTTTTATTGTTTCAATTTCAAACACAACGAAAGGGTACATAGCAAGTGTCTTTCCCCACTTTCAGTCACTCCATGTGTCTGGTGGCAGCTCTGTTGTCTTTCTCTTGTATACCATATTTTGTAAGGGATAGAGGCAGAATTTACTGATAAATGATCAGTGATCTCTCTTCACAGGAGTGCTATGAGGAAACTAATGAATGTGTTATTTTAAACCTCATTTTGGCATGTGTCAACTACAGCATGAGAAGCATTTTATCTTACTTCTGGCTTCTTTTCTAGGTGATAATAGAACGATACAAGGGTGAGAAGCAGCTTCCTGTCCTGGATAAAACCAAGTTCCTTGTACCTGATCATGTCAACATGAGTGAACTCATCAAGATAATTAGGTATTTAATCACCTTCTTTGTTATTTTGAGTAATTTCTCATTCTTTATCAGACAATCTTTTGTTCTGGTTATAGTCTATGCCAGTTTAATAAAACCATAAAATGTCTCATGTCTGAGGTTTTATATTTTTTACTCTCCAGACTTCAGGTCCCTCCTGATTCTTTCACCGTAACATGTAGTATAGATGTTGTTTCTTTAAAAGAAATGTTACAGTCGTTAAAGTTTTGTACAGAAAACTAGTAAAAGAGAGTGTTGAGTCAGTGCAATGGCAATAAATTGCACAGGCTTAGATCTTAGAATAGTTTGTAAATTTTATATATAAAATTTTTTGGTGTGTGTGCATGTGGCTGGCCAGTATGGGGATGCGAACCCTTGACCTTAGTGTTATCAGCACTACTACTACTACTACTCAAGTGAGCTAACCAGCCAGCCCCTGTAAGTTATATTTTTAACTGTTTTTAGCACATTGGACACTAACAGCTATTTATATAGTATACTAGTTTAAAACTGGCCTGAGGAATGTGCTAATAATAATCTGTCAATGATTATAGTTAATATGGGTCATGAATAATAGAATATGTCTCATGGTTTATAAGAAGAAATATTAGATTCATCATCAGCAAGGCATGTACTTTATTTTGCCAGAAGCAGCATTTACAAAATCTTTTTTTTTTTTTTTTTTTTTTTTAAAGATGACCGGTAAGGGGATCTCAACCCTTGACTTGGTGTTGTCAGTCAGCACCACGCTCAGCCAGTGAGCAAACCGGCCATCCCTATATGGGATCCGAACCCGTCGCCTTGGTGTTATCAGCACCACACTCTACTGAGTGAGCCACGGGCTGGCCTAGCATTTGCAAAATCTTAATACAGTATTTCATCCATCAGGGTGGGTGATATGTTTACACATGATCCACATGTATCATATTGATATATCAGTATTTCTTCATGTTGTTTTCTTCAATAGAAGGCGCTTACAGCTCAATGCTAATCAAGCCTTCTTCCTATTGGTGAATGGACATAGCATGGTGAGCGTCTCCACACCGATCTCGGAGGTATATGAGAGTGAGAAAGATGAAGATGGATTCCTGTATATGGTCTACGCCTCCCAGGAGACATTTGGAATGAAATCGTCAGTGTAAGACTAGAAAAATGCCTCTATTGTAGAATTTTTGAACCCTTACAAAGGAAAAAAAGGGATGTTACCAACTGAGATTGATCAGTTCATGTAATCATAGATCATCAAAACAGTAGTGTTCCACCTAGGAGTTTTAGGAAGTTGTTTTTGTATTTCAGTCAGAGAAACTGAGCTCCATATGATCACATTCAGCTTGGAAAACTGTTATTACTTAACCTAGGCTATCTTTTCAAATTTTAGAAGTTTAAAAACAAAATACTTTGCGTTCTAAGTTGCCAATAAAATAGACCTTTAAGTTATTTTGATTCTCTTTTTTCCCCAATAGGAACTTATATTTCAAGCAGTAACTTAAAGGCATTCAGAAAGACACTGTCTTTAGTTTCACAGAACCGGCCATTTTTTAATAGAAGGGTTTCTACTCAACTAGAGAAATCTCCCTGAGAGGATCTCTAAGTTGTCAAGCATAACACCCCAAAATGCATTTGCCATAATGGTTGGCACAAAAGCAGGGTAAAACGGGGGTGTATAAAAAACCACTCTATGAACTGCTGCTCGAGGTTCCTGATTCCTAACAGAGGTATACCAAAAGTCCAAACTTCTGCAGTGTTGGAAAGTTCTTACTTGGTTTTGTTTTCTAGACAGTTACACACAGAAAACAACCAGTACTCAATAGGCACTTTGACTACTTTCCAGTTTTGGTCTAGTTTCTTAAAAGGCCCCAGAGAGAGAAAAGTGGCATTTCTTCTGTTTTGGAGTTTCTTTGATCTAAGACTTCAAACTAGTACCTGCTTTGATAAATAAACAAGCAGTTGTATCAGTGTCATCCTTTAGGACTGTTGTAGAAACTACAGAATAGTAAAACTGAAAGCATTATAATCGAGATGCACTCCCTTCTACCTTTTGGCTTAAAGCTATGGATGATCCTTATTTTTTTTTAAAATGTTAAATGTATAACTAAAATGTTACTAAAAGGTCCTCGCATTTTTTAAGAGTAAGGTCAGTTGTCTATTAGGTCAAACTGCCATCAGAATTCTCTCACTTTTAAATGCATGTCAATTGTGAAGAAAACATAGCAAAAGGAGACGTATGCTCTCTACAGATATTAACATCAAGAGTTAAACATCTTCCAAGTTTCCAAGTTTAAGTCCAATCTAGAATAAAGACCAATGCTTCCTCCTACCTGCATGGGGTCCACTATTTACTATTTTCTTGGAAGTATCACAGAAAGATCAGTTACACTTCAGACTGTACATGTAGCAGTTCACAACTTACCCTTATGTATTTAAATGTGTATGGAATACTTGTATCTGTTAGTGAAAGTTGTTGGCTGTAATGGAGGGGAAAAGCAGTATTACTGCATCTGGGCCCTCGACTTATCATTAAAGGAATTCCTGTCACCTGCTCTCCCCGCTGCATGCATCTGTCCACATGGCTAACTTTTAATATGTATATTTTTACATTATGTAAATTCTTAATCAGCTTGTCTTGTTTAGATTGTATACGTCATTATATCTGACATTCTTGTAACTACTGTGTGATCAGTAAGATTCCTATAAGAAATACTGCTTTTTAAAAAAATACCACCGCTGAGAGGGGTGACCTGTATCCCATGTTAGTGGGTGGTCACTTTATTTATAGGATCTTTAAAACAAGTACATTTTTAATGAACTAAGGTGAATAAAGGCACAATTAAAAACTGTCATAAAAGCTCAATTTAATGGGATCGGTATTTGAGACTTCAGGTCCTACATAGTTTGTACTCTCCAAAGCCAAGTGGATCATCTTCCCAAAAAGGAACATCTGGGCTGGTTTTGCTGTGCTGGAGGAGTACTTTATGGGAGATACCCACTTATGAAGGCTGCTGCCTTGTCAGGGTCCTGCCACCAGGTGTTGTCTTTACAAAACTAAATCCTCTTGAGAACTTGCAGATACACCACAAAGTATAAGGTTGGTCATTGGACCTAGCGGTTTCGTGGGAATAAACACCTGACAACCTACTGCTCTAAACCAGTAACCACTAAAGTGAAACAAGCACAGGTCGTGTGTATACCTGTGGTCATCAGATGACCACGTGGGAACCTGCTGGCATCAGGTAAAGACAAGGTACAAACACACCAGCTCTCAGACCAGACTAGTGTTCAGCGTTACTCATTTAGAAAACTTTGGACCCAACTCATTTAAGTAGGCACTTAGACATTTACTGGAAAACACTCTGCTATCCTGAGTTAGCTTTTAACAGATATGCACACATTCCCTTTGTCCTGTTTTCAGAGTTCCCTCAAGACAATCCTTGAGCCATCAGAGGTTGCTAGTGGTTGCCTGTTTTAAAAGGAGAGGCCAGCTGTGTCTCCTCATGCCCTTTACCTGACATCACGAGAACACTGCAGCCTTGGACAGGCACGTGCTTGACTGCAGCATCCCACATCCAGAAAAGGCATGTTTTAGTTTTAGAGATCGAGTGAGTATGGCTCTATACCATGTAGCTACCCTCATTTATGTTAAGAAAAAAAAAAAGTCACAGGGCTGGTGTGATAGCTGGTTGTCTGTGGCACTGTCACCCCCTCCCCAGCAGGTGTCTTCTCCCTGGAGGAGCACAGCTTCAGGGTAGGGCCATGCCACATTCCTGAGGTACCTGATCTATTAAAGCTGGGAAACTTGATTGAAAATGGATTTAAGACCAAGTATCTCTTTTGTAAGCATAGGAAGAAAGGGTTGAATCCTGAGTTTGGAGATCAAGAATAGTGACTTATTTGAAAAGATGGTGCTTCATGTACTATGTATGAGACAAAGACATAATAAAATCAAACACAGACTTTTTTTACATTTTTATTTTCAGTACATTAAATTTACTCATAAAAACATTCTAAAAATGTACAATTTTTCCTTTTTAACAAAGTATAATAAAACATAAAAACCCCCAAAACAGAATACTTGACATTTACAATTCAAAATCAAATTAGCGGAATATTAAATATTTACAAAACTATATCTTTTAAAAATATTTATAAAGTTACATGCAATTTTGTAGAATTGACAAAAGAATGGCTCAAAAATGGGAGAATTTTCCTTCATTCCTAAAAAGAAAGTATGTCCAATAGAAGCTGTGAAGATTCTTGAGTACACAAGGTTTTCAGTTTCAGTACCAAAGCCTTGTCTTTTGTGCATGTAAGAACTTACACACGTGATGAGGGCTGAAACAACACACGTGAGGCTGGAGCAGGGACTGGTGGCCACTGCTCCCCTCTCTCGGTTAACAGTGTAGTAACATTGACCTTTGGCCTCAACCAGCACAGTATATGGTTTTCTAGAATATTGCAAGTGTTGATTAAAGATGCTCACTTTCATTCAGACCCTTGGGACTTTTTGACAATTCAGCCTCTTCAGAACCCATGGCTTTAAATGTCACCTGCCTCATTCTTTGGGAGTCACCTGCACAATGGAAACGACCCACTCAGGTTGCACAGGACCATCCTCTAGGATGGGTGGTCAAGTTGAGCAGGTTGGCAGTTTCCCTACAACATTTAAGACTTCACAAGATGCCATCAGTTATCAGGATGTAAAACTAGCAAGGTATAAAATACAACACCAGGAAGCAGGAAGAGTGAGGACAAGGAGGATCCAGGAGGGAGCCGCCGACTCCCACTGGGCAAGTGCCCCGAGCAACACTGAAGTGAGGGGGAGCAGAAGCCTAGTTGAGCCTGTGCTCACATAGGAAACATTGCAGCTGGATGATACTAGCAGAGTTACTACCACTGCTACTGTGCCTCAATACACAGGTTGTAGTATAGACTAACTATGCTGACTTCTTGCAGTAAAGGACCTAGAATTCTAAATACTGAATTAAAATATGGAACCTACTGACTACTATATTAACAAGCTGACTCCTGTAACCTTTTGGAGATGATAGATGATGCTGGTTTTTTAAAATATCCAATCACATATATGCATTCAAGAAAATATTTTGTTTTTATTTTTATTATAAGTGCTAGCTCCCATTTCCTCAGTGCTCTTTAGCAATTAAGAGTTTTTTTGTGTTGTTTTTTAACTTTCCAATTTTCATTATCATGAGATAAAAATTAGAAAATAAGGTAGAAAAGTGAGTGATTTACTTAAAAAACAAAATGAAAGATTAAATAGTTGTATCCCAACACTGTATTCTACTTCAATCTATACATTCCACTTTCCCCATTCTTGGAGATAAAAAAACAAAAACAAAACAGGTTAGAAACTTTAATATATGACAGACTACACAGAGCAAAGACATGGCCAATGCCACCCTACCTGGTTGCCACAGCTCTCTGAAACTGTGACCACAATTTCTGGAAAATGATTAAATATGTGACAGGATCAGTATGTTCTGTGTTTTTAACTGAGGAGAAAGTCTTCTGATGAAATGCAAAATGCTCTTTAGGTATATTTACTTTGGTTGCATTTGGAGAGAAATTCATCAGAGATAATACTGCTAGGAAATATCCTCAAGTCCAAGTATGGGATTCACTTTAGGAAGAGATCTCATGGATCTGCAGTTGAATTTTTTCTGTACTGTGTACCTCATATTTATGTCTCAAAATTCTCAACTTTGAACGGCCTCACTGGAGACGTCATACCATACGTGCACTTTCAAAGACAACTGGAAGTTTTCCCATGACCTCTGATGACTGGAACACAGCCATAATGTCAGAACTTATTTACCTCAACTCTGAAGTGTCATATCTCAAATCAAAGTTTCTCCTTTAATTTTCGATGTATTTGTTAACCTCTATTATTATCAAAATAGTTATAAGGGTAACAACAGACACTTTCATTCCCCTATTCTGACTAAAACAAAAACATAAATGATTGTTTCTTTTGTTTATGAGACAGTTTTCAACAATTCCACTGTGTTGAAATAGGATTTATTTAAAATATTTCTTTATTTAAAAAACCAAAAAATTTGAAAGTTTGGCTTTCAGCACATATCCAGGCTCCTATAACAGCCTTCAGAAATATTAAAATCGTAAACATCAATGAACACTCTAAGTCTTCCTTTAACATAACATGACAAGTTCCAGTCTAGTACTCTTTAAGGCAAAGTTGTGTCAGTTCTCATTATTTTGACATTTTGTAGTGTTTATAATTTAAGGGATCAATGTAACATTCCCCTAAATAGCTGTTGAAATAAGCATTACCATTACTTCAAAACTATATGTAATACTGTGTACCACGAAGAGAGAATACAGAGGTCTGTTAATTCTGCATTGCATAGAAATAAAACTCTACTAAAATAAAACTAGAAAACTCCACTAAAAGCCTTTCATAAAAAATGTAACAACTTTCTGCTTAGTTTCCATGAAGCCAGAAAACTGATCTCAAAATCTGAAGCCTCCTATTACAATGCCTCAAATCCTAGGGTATTCTTTTGATTTATACCAATTTTGCATGAGGCTAATTGTCCCATTTTAAAATGGTCTGCGTATTTTGATTTTTTTTAAACACTCAAATGGAAAATCCCTGGCAAGACCTCACAAACCAGTATGTTAATATTGAAGGCTTTAGCATTTCAAATAAGAATATTATTTGCGCAGAAAATTCCCTTTAACCATGAAGACTGAAGTCCCTATATTTCAGACCAAAATGTTCCCATCCCAATGGGGTGAAATGTAGAGATCTACAGTGAGGACTTTTATTTCCTACCTAAAACAACCAGGCCCCTATGAATCTTGCAGCTCTGTCTTCTGTGTGTGGCCTCTTTCAGAGTCTCACCACTTTCTACTGACGTTTTCCAGGTAATTTTTAACGGAATTAACTATCAATACATAGCCTAGTACAAAAGAAGTTGACAGGAGAAAATTTACGATCTTTTGCTCATAAGTGATAGGACTGTATAATTGTTGAAATGTCTGTCTCAGTGTGAATCCATCAGCAGTAAGCCTTGGGGCTGGGGGTCCACGAGGAGCCCGTGTGAGATCGAACAACTTGCACGCTCTGCTAAGGACATGCAGCATCTGCCACAGCCACCACGCAAAGCTGTGCCGCTGCTGTGTCCCTGCAAGAGTTCATTTGTAGTGGAAGATGTCAGGACTCAGCCACTGAATGGCTGGGAAGGAAGGTATTCTCAAAGCTTTGACTATGGATTCTCTGGGACTTGGACCCTTAGAAATTAAGTTGTTGCGAGTAAACTATTTCTATTTTATAATGTAGTTTAAATTTATTTGCAGGAAAAAAATCAAAAACCTGAAACTGCTACAAGTGTTTGAAGGAGGGGAAGGAAATATTAAAATCTCCATGTGTACTAAGTCGAGTAGCCTGCTAGTGCCGACTCTTTAAATATGGATTATCTGAGTCTCTTGCACTGGTCTCAGAGGAGTTTGTCTCCAAGAACTGCAGAGATTTATATCAGATTACATTCTTCTGTAGTGCAATCCTTAAAAATCCCAGAGATTAGTGCCTAATCACTTTAGGAAAAAAACAAAACAAAATAAAGTCAACATTTTCCCTAACCCAGGGGTGTCAAGAGTCCACAGTGGAACTCCCCTTGGAGAGCGCCAACCTTCAGTTCTCCATTCCGATCACGCATAGCTGCCCTGGAATTGCGTGTGCCTAGAAGGACCAGTGATGGCAATGCTCTTCAGGAGACGCGAGGTCTCTGCATTGCGACCAAGGGTGGAGATGGCCATTTCACCAACCACGGAGATACCCACTAGGCAAGTCCTGACATCAAGC